CACACACACACACACACACACACACACACACACACACACACACACACACACTTCAGATTGGCTTATGGTTTAAAAAAACTAACTTGAAACTCAAGAGCGCACGAAACGGACCTCTTTACGCAAAAAAAGAAGTATGGGTCATTTTCTGAGGGATAAAAATTGACAAGTTTTCCCGCATCTGTGCAGAAGATCGGAGTCACCAGCAGAGAAAGAGAGAGAGAGAGAGAGAAGAGGAAGAAGAAAACAAGAGGAGCATACGGACAGAGAGAGGAGGCAGAGTGGGAATACTCTGTGAAATCCTGCCCAAGGTATACGGTCGCTTAAAAGGCTTAAAAGCTTGGAGAAAATTGGATCAGGGAGAATCGTCACCCAACTTTCATTATTTCCAAGTGGTGTGATTGAATTAAAGGGCAAGATGTTGGTTGGGAGAGGAGTGGGGTGGATGGGGAGGAGTGGGTGGGTGGGTGTGGGGGGCGCTGCGTAATGGCGTGGTATTAAATTCTAATTAGAGATGCAGGGGATCAATGATAGGGAGGTTGGACAGCCCGGGCCCCCAGTGCCAGCCCAATAGACTGATGAGTTATTGTCATGTAAAAAAGCGCTCGCAATAAGACCAAACGCTTTGCTATTGTCCAAGCGGAAAGAGCCAAGTTTATTATGAGGACTATATGCTCTAGAGACCTCGGGCTAGGCGGCTCTTAGGGGGCTTTTCATAAAACAGGGCTAGGTTCCTATAAAGGAGGCCAGTTTTGGAGCAGGCGCGGAGCAGTGCACATCTCAGCGTCCAGCCTTTTTTTTAATCCCCTCTCCCCACCAGTTCAAACCAAACATCCTTCCCTTAAAACCCAGAGCGCGCGTCCTCCTCACTTTCATTTATTCTTCCCCCACCCCATTTCAAACCCCATTTTTTTGGGTGCTTTTGTTCTACTTTTTTTGTTTTATTTTTCCAGGAAAGTGCAGCTTTTCACCTCAACCGAGCCTTCTCCAATGTATAAAATGGAGTATTCTTACCTAAATTCCTCTGCCTACGAGTCATGTATGGCCGGGATGGACACGTCGAGCTTGGCATCGGCCTACGCGGACTTCAGCTCGTGCAGCCAGACCAGCGGCTTCCAGTACAATCCCATCAGGACCACTTTCGGGGCCACCTCCGGCTGTCCGTCCCTCACGCCGGGCTCCTGCAGTCTGGGGACCCTGCGAGACCACCAGAGCAGCCCGTACGCCGCAGGTAAGCGGAGCGGGCTCCCCGAGCCCTCAGCCCCGGCGTTATTATAGGAACGGCTTGATTGCATTTGAAAATGGAAATGTGTTTAGTATTTACCAAACGAAATTTGCTTACACAAATGAAAGAATTTATCACGTTAGAAGCGATTGCAGGCAAGAGGTAATTCGGTTACCGGGTTATACTATCCCAGTCACACCCAAAACCGCCAACAGAATTATCTTAAGCTGCCAAAATGATCGGCATAATTTATTTACTTTGCGATGAGACATAAAGCTTCGAAAATAATTAGATAACCAAAGACTAAAGCTCATTATTGGCACCAAATTGGAGTTACAGTAGCAGCAAACGCAGCGGATGGCAACAGTATGACAAGTTYTCAAACTTGAACCTCGATCCGAGGAGCAACAATTAATTTAAACATCACAATTAACCGCTTCACAGGTCAGCGGTGTTATCAGCTCTGATCTAATCCCAAAGTAATCAAATCCAAATGAAAGCTTAAACGGATTTTACACAAAAAAATATCCAATTTGAATTTACTTCCAGTTGACAACATCGCAATCAGATGATGCACAGCACCTAACCCCCGGCTTTTCGGTTGCAGTTCCGTACAAACTCTTCACGGATCACGGCGGACTGAACGAGAAGCGGAAGCAGCGGCGCATCCGGACCACGTTCACCAGCGCGCAGCTGAAGGAGCTGGAGCGGGTTTTTGCCGAGACCCACTACCCGGACATCTACACCAGAGAGGAGCTGGCACTCAAAATCGACCTGACTGAAGCCAGAGTGCAGGTACACACAGCTGCTGCAGCTGCTGGTCCAACCCGTTCCACCATTACGCACCGTTACGCACGGATGGATTCAGAATTACGCACATTTTTGCCAAACAGGACTACTGAATTCTGGACTTTTAGATCATTTTGTTCATAAACATTTCACCTACTGAAAGGATTTAGGAAACTTCCCTGCAGTTTAAAACATTATAAAACACAAAAAATGTTTTATTTTTTATACTGTCGGAGATTTAAGCTTCATAGGTTTCATCATATTTTCCTTATTCTTTATGAATAATATTTAAACATTCAACTACATAGTAAACACATTGACAGTTTGTATTATTATTGCCTAATATAATATTCTAAAGTTGCACTTTCCTATGAACAATTTGCAGGTGTGGTTTCAAAACCGGCGCGCCAAATTCCGCAAGCAGGAGCGCGCGGCTGCGGCTGCCGCGGCGGCCGCCAAGTCCAGTTCCGGGAAGAAGGCGGACTCCAGAGACGAAGACAGCAAAGACACTAAAACCACAGACCCCGACAGCACGGGAGGCCCGGGACCCAACCCGGTCCCGACCTCCAACTGYGGCGGACCGAGCCCCACCGCGGGCCAAGTCAACACCACCGGCAACGGACAGGTGGACCAGGTGAAGACCTCCGTGTCCGCCGGCATGGGAGTGACGGCGCCGAGCCAAGGCTGGGCCCCGGCGCCCGGAACCATCACATCCATACCGGACTCATTGGGCGGGCCCTTCGCCAGCGTCCTGTCCTCTTTGCAAAGACAGAACGGAGCCAAAGCTACGTTAGTAAAAACCAGCATGTTCTAATGAAGCTTCCGCGGCKGGGGGAGAGGAACAGACAGAGCAGGAAAGAAAAAAAAAACGTTTCTTCCTCCTGCAGAGACTGAAAAAGCAATCGGCCCAGACTGAACTCGAGGATAATAAGAAGCAGATAGAAAAAAAGGACAAAAAAAGTTGGTTTGTTTTTAGGCCTTGCGTCGTTTCTTGTGCTCAGCAGCTCCCTGTAAAATATCATCTCAGCAAGTCAAAGATTATTTCAKTCTTCAGACGAAGGGTTTTGGAAACATAATTATCCAAAAAAACATTGAGGAGGMGAGGGAATTTTCTCATCCTTACACACATCAGGTTGAAACAAAAACAACACACCACTTCAAAACATTTCACACATCCAAATGACTCGTTTAGATGGTCGCTTTTTGTCCAAAACGCGCGGGAAGACGCAGTGGAGACGCGCAGCAGTGCGTAAAAAGGAGCCTCGCTGAGTCACAAACAGCTGTTTCAAGTTTGGAACAGAAACAACAAACACMCACACACCGACACACCAACATGGTTTCATTCCTGCTGGTTGGAAACGTTCTGTTTTTATTTGTTTTGTTCCCAGGGCTGCTGAGAGTTTAGTTTCTTTAAATTTGTCGATATAAACCCACTTMTTTCCTCGAGAAACAAAAAACGAACAAAAACAAAAAAATAGGCACAAGCTACTGCAAAACGTTCACCTCTGACAGGAAATCTGTATGTTTTTGTGTGTCTTTCTACGGCAGTGTTTTGTGGCGCAGGTTGTATAGTGTTAATACGTATTCTTGTCTCTAGTTGAACCATAGGCCATCCCTGTATATCGATCATGCAAGTCTTTTTGATGTTTTACTAAATTCCCTCAAAAAGGATTTATTTTGGCTAAAAAAAAAGCAACAACAGGAACAAGGGAATGGATGCAAACATTGTATTTATTTCTATATAATTTGCATGTTGTCTCTTTGTCTGATTTTACACTGATTTCTCTCCCATTTTGTGAGCATTCTKTACCATGTTTTGTCCCGAATCGGAAAGTTATTTATAAGTAGGTAATGGATGCTTATATTTAAGAAGGAAATATTTCTACATGTGCACATAGTTTTCCAGGTGTACCATTGAAATGATTGTTGATGATATATAAAAAAAAGTCCCACTTGCTTTCGTCATGTTTTATTTTTTGGGGAGGGAAAATGACAAAATGATTTGGATTTTAAATTTGAAACATTATTTACTAAAAAAATGTTTCTATTTAGCTTGAAAACTCTAAAGGCAAAATGCTTCTGATAAAACAAGCAATTTCAGCACCAAGG